TTATGAGACATGTTTGTATGGTGGCAATAAAAAACAATCTAAGCAAAAATATCTTGCAAGAAATTGCCAATACTGTACTGAAGCAAGCTTGAGCTAGAGCTACAGATTTCATATTTATCAATGTGTAGGTAGTGGTTGAAATTCTTGCAGTATTTGAAACCACCCTGGGACAGGCCAATGCAAGAAGAGGGATGATGACAGAACTCTAGTGGGATCCCAATCACACTAGGAAAAGAACAGAAGAGAATAGTATTATGAAATCCAAGAGAACAGAGAGTTTTAGTACAAAAGGAAGTGTCTTATGCAGCAGGGATTTCAAAGAAGACTTGAGAATCAAAAGTGTTCATTGGATTTGGCAGCAAGCAGGTTAATAGTGCATAGTGTCAGCAGTGAGGCAAGCCCACAGAAAGCTCAGGAATAAGTGGGAAATGAAGGCAAAAATCCTATGTGCAAATCCTATGGAAGCAAAGGGAGGAGGGGGTGAAGGGAGGGCAGGGGTAAGGGGAAAAAATGAGAACCAAGACCTGTCATGCAAAGGTACAAGATCCCAAAGATGAATGTAGTTGTACTGTATACCTAAAGTGTACCAATAAACTCAATGCAAAAAACAAATAAAACAAAAAATCCTATGGGAGCAAAGACCCAGCTACCCAAACAAGTCATGCGCAATAGTAACATTCACTTTGGAAAGCAGACAATAAGGACCTTGGTGTGTGTGGAAGTGGTTGATCAAAGCAGGAGTATGTGTGTGTGTGTTGTGGGGGAGGGTGTGCAAGGAGGAAGGCAAGATTTACACAGCAATTGTCTAATTCAGGAGAAAGTGGAAAAGCCTATCGTTGGTAGCCATGGCACTAGTCAGCTCATAGAAGGAACATTAGCTGTTTGCAGAAGGAAGATAAAAATGCAGGAGTGGTGATTAATGCATCTGGGCTCTGGAATTCATGAGGGATACATTTTGTGGCAGAGAAGCATCAGGATGCAGGCAGAAGATAATTAATTAAAAAACCCTTGAGCTTGGTTTCATACGAAATTCTTGCCTCACAAATCTTCAGGTTAGGACCTGGTTTCCCAAGCCATAAAGTGGGACAAACAGCTCTTACCTATACAGGAATCCAAATATTCCCTGATATTTTTATTATAATACTGTTGGATTATATGTATTAATGATCCTTTATATTCCACATATAATGAGGAGCTCCCCACACTGTATATAAACAGTAGAACACTGTTAAAACAGAAAAATGAACTATTATTGAGGAATACTAGGCTCAGAACAAAATAAACAACTCCTCTCCTTTTATCTCTAACTCCAGAAAAACATACACTGATGGAGTGTAATGCAGAAATAGCTTTCAAATCCATGAGGCAAAAAGGGAAGAGATGGAAATGTCAACCTAAAATGTTTTGTTCCATCAAATGGCAGGAAAAAAATAGAGCAGATAAGAGAGCAACTCAGAAATGTTTTTTTTTCCAGATAAAACCTACCCCCAAGAAAGAAACTAAACATTAAATATTAAATCTTAATCTAAATATGGGAGGGGAAATTATTAATATTGAGAGGTATATTATCATTTAAGGCTGCTATTCTCTTAAAGTAGGTTCAATAAAATTAAACTCACAGGCTAATGACCTTGGGCAAGTCATTCGACAGTTTTTTTTTTTTTTTTGCATACAGACAGTAACAGCCACCCCCTACCCCAGAAAGGGTGCACTGTGATGCTTTGGAAATGGTAAAGTGGTGTACTAGGCAAGAGCTTTTGCCAGAGGGGTATACCTTGGAGAAATCAGCTTGCAGTAGCTTCAGCCAAAAAGGGTTGGATTTCAGCTTGCATGAGTGCTAGGTGTTGTGTAAATGTCCTAGTCAGTTCACAAAGCCTTGGCAAAGGAAAAGTACACACTGCCTAGCAAGATATGTGCTTGATGTCTTCCCAAGGCAGGAGGTGGGCCTGCCAAGGACTGCAACATTGCTCAGCAGTGATCCAACCTTCCATTCCTCTCCCAGCTAAAGAGGAACAGCTTGAACTCCAAAGAGGGCTCTCTGCTAGGCTAAGGAAAACAGTCTCAAATCTTTATGACGTCTGCACACTAGAGGTACAGAGGGACTGTCCTGCAGGATCAATAATGTGGGGCCAGTTAAACAATCCTGTTCAGCTCTGGGAACCTAGGAGGGAAGGGAGAATGACTAAACAGGACCTGGTGGCATAGGTGGCATCAAACATCCATGTTTAGTTTGTCCCATGAACACTGGCCTCCTTATCTATTTGGAAAACAGGACATTCTTGCTTTTGACTCATAAAATACAGCTAGCTAAAGGTCAATAGCCTTGAGAAATATTCTCAGAAATTTAAGACTTCAGAAATAATTTTTAGGAGTTTTTAATTCTGTATAGTCTGTGTCTTTTAAACACCGAGGAAAAATAATCTGTCTAGTGACATTCCAGTTTTTCCTCCATTCCCTACCCCATCAGTCACTCAGATGTTTTCAAAAGAGAAGCCAGACTTGGGCTCCAGATGTTTGGAACCCAAAATAGTACATTTACTGCCATCCACCTTAAAAAATAAAAAAAAATTCAGGCTGCATTTAAAAAATGGAGTTCAGCGTAGCATGTTTGTCTTGTGTAGGGTTGATTTCAGTTCAGATATATAAGATTTTCTACTTTTAAAGGCTCTCTAAGTCAACAAACAGAATAGAGCTTGTTTTCATTTCCCTGGTTGTTAGATCTGATTAGTTATTTCCCATCCCACACCCCAGGTGCCACCAGGAAATATTCTGTAGTGTCAAATCTTAAATCTCATGTTTGCACTTGAGCTTGCAGGGTTGAAGTCAATAAGAATCACCATATAGGGCCGGGGATTTAGTGCAGTGGTTCTGCCACTTGTATTGCAAGCACAAGGAGCTGACTTCAATCTCAGGTACAAAAAAAAAGAATCACCATATAGGAAAATGTTTAGAGGTTATGTCCAGGAAATTTGCATAAAATATAAATTTCCAGTGAATTTGCAAAAGATGCTTAAACTCATACAAATGCAGGAAATTATAATTTTCACTCACTGTATTAGTAAAAATATGAAGTGTTGCTGTTAAGGGGTTAGAATTATGGACACTCACATACAGTGCTGATGAGTTGAAAGACACTTTGTGGGGTAATTTGATGGTATCTTTGAAAAGTAAAAATGTCTATTTAATAATTCTAATTCTCAGTATCTCAGTAGAGAGATAAGCACAAGGAGGCCTATTCAAATATTTTCACTGTAGCATTGCCATTTTATAAAACAGCAAAAATTCAGCTGCAACCAAAGTGCTCATCAGAAGGGAAATAGTTGAATTCAACTATAGGGTAGAGAAATGATCTTAAGGACATATTAAGTGGAAAAGGGGGCCTACTTACGATTTTACTTAGAAAATAAATATAAAACTCAGAAACTTCAGGCTTTATACATAGACTTTAGACTTCACAAATAAAATCCTATAAAAAGGACTTTAGGGAATAAGTCCAGCATATAACGATATTTTTGTGCGTATGTGTATGTATTTCTGATTATGCATAGAAAAAGACAAGAAAGACAATAGTGGAACTGAGGCAGACTTTTGCTTTGTCAATACTCCTTGCATGTTATTTAAGAATACACCCCATGTTACTATAGACTTACTTTTTTCTACAATTTTTTCTGGTTGTAGATCAGAGGTAAAGGCATGGGCCTTGGTGGCTACAGTAAACACAGCTTCCCTGGGAAGCAGTGCGTAAGTATACTAAATAGATGAGAAATCAAAAATCAAAGGATTCAGGTAATAGCCAGGAGTATGTAATCAATTTACCATGTGACCCTAGCAAGTACTTTTCCTTTTGAGTCTGTTTTTTCTTTTTCTACAATCAGCAGACAAGATGAGAGCTCACTAAGATGCCTCCCCTTTCTGATATTTTATGATTAATTTCATGTCTTTAATATATAATTGTTATGATCCTTTTTAATGAAGAGATGGGCTTTTTATTCTTTTCCTTCAAGTTCTGGCATAGTTTGACATTTCACTTAACTGCAAATGGAACATAATGAAAGAGAAAGTGGAGCGGTCACTGTGTTCTCTGCTTGGCTATGTTTTTTAAAGGTTTAGTTGTCCTATTTATGCTACTACTTTCCTTTAACAGCATTAAGGCAGGCTTGTTTGAATGTGATGAGAGTGCAAACACAGTGCTAGAAACTGGAAGATGTGACTTATACCTACTGTCCATAAATTCTGGAAATATTATACACACACACACACATATATTCTTAAACTCCATTGAATACTTTTTCTAAGTTATAATAAAAGTGCAGGTTTATTTAGTGAAAATCAGAGATGCAACTCACTTGGGGGCTATGCAAATACAAGGATCGATGGAAATTCTATGGAAATGTACTGTGTTCATTGCAATTTACATAACAATTTGAACTGCGCCTTGTTAATAAGGGATTATATATTAAATATGTTACAGTGTTTTAAAACTTATCCTATATTTTTGTGTAGCACCTCTAAGCCATTTTTATGTGCAGATGTTGATATTTGTGGACTTTATGGATACATCATACTCTTGATTCTGTCTCTAACAAGCAGGGTAATTTTGGACAAACTACATCCCAGTCTGTAGATAATAATTTGACCACCTGTTTGTCAGAATGGTAAGTAAAAACCAAGTGATACAAATGAGCTATGAAAATTCTTACATATCTACAAACATAACAATCTGGTTCTGCAAAATCTAACTGGCTTTTGGAAGTACACCAATGAAACTCTAGAGAACCTTGGCATTACGTCAATGAAGGAAACCTCTTCTTCATCCCTCAGAGATTGCTTAATCAGTCTAGTTCTGCCTATCATTAGTTGGCAAAGCTCCTTCCATCTGGTCCTCATCATTTTTCTTGTTTCATGAGGTCATAAGAGTAGGTTCTAAGCAGTTCAATTCTAAAATAAAAACAGATAATGGCCCCTGTAACTGTCTTTGAATAATGAAATTAGCAACTTACTCTAGCTCCCTTTTCAGGCAAGCATTTACAGCCTTGACTGCAGTCTTGGCCTGCACATGGCTTTACATAAGATTCTTTTTCTCCCTGTTGAAAGAAACAGAGGAAAAGTTAGATTGTATGAACCATGAAACATCATTGCCCCAAGGAACCTTTAGTCACACTCCTCTTAACCAAGTAAATTTAAAGTGGATTAATGATTTCACCTGATGGTGTCACTATTCAAAATAATTGAAAACTCATCTTCAGATACTATCCTTGTAGGACAGGTGCATTCCTTACTAAATAGCCAGTTTGGTAGCTGGTTTTGGAACTATGGTATAGATACTGCCTTACTGGTAGAAATTTCAGTCAAACAATGCAAGAGAATTTCTTTGCATGAGGTTGGTGTGAAAGCAGGTGTTCAGTGACTTATGGATTTGCATTCATTGAGAAAGCAGTAGTACTAACAGAGAATCTGGGAGAAATACAAATGCTAGAACTGCAGTAACAGATGAAAATGAGCACTGTACTCTGCTCTCATCTCCGAAGGCTCCATTTCCAGTACATAATTCAAATTTTACAGTGACACCTCTATGCCCTATTTGTCAGATACAAATTCTTCAAGTGCCATGGTCACCAGACTCTCCAATTTCATTTTCACTTCCTGTTCTTTAGGAATAGGTATAATGATGAAGATTACTAGCTGAATTTCCCCAAGGCCCTCACGTGAGCTGATGTTGTCCTATCTCACTTCCTCACTTTCTCCTTGTCTTGCTCAGCTTAGTCCACGGGTGAGTGTTCATTTAAAAAAGCATAACAAGCCACAGGATCCCGGCTTGGCTGTTATTTCTTCCTGTAATGTTCTTCTCCTGGGTTTTTGTTTGTTCGTTTGTTTTATTGCTGGCCACTTTTCATCATTTAGGTCTCAGGTTTATTCTTCATACTCAGGTCATTCTTGACCACTCAGCCTAGGGTAGTCTTCAGTTACTTCATATCCTTTGTTATCTTTTTATCATTTTTGTCTTTCCCCACCTGAATACAATGTACACTTAAGTAGAGACTATTTATCTTGTTCAACATTATGTCCCAAATGCCTTAACAGTGAATTATACCCAAGTAACATTTGACCCAGATCTAACTCTAAAGTCTTGACCTTAAAACTTTTATGTCTTAGTGCTTTTTGAGACCTCTCTATACCAGAGCCTCACCATAAGAACTCCAAAATTGAGGGAAAAATTATTCGGACCATATCCACACTGGGAAAAAGCAAAACATAAATTACTACTAATATCTCTAAGAAGAACTTTATCTCTGGGGTGGATTTAGTATCATCCAATATTTTGTTTAATGCTGGCCTTTTTTTCAATAAGGAAGGCATATTTATAAGCCACCCACACAATCATTCTTGCCTCTGTGTACTGTGTGCCTTTTCCTAATTCCCAGAGAGCAATGTGAATTTTTCAGATAGTTCTTTTTCTCTTTAGACATTTCTATAATACTGTACCACCACAACACCTTGATAATAAGGTAGTGATGGCAGAGCTCTGACAAAATATTGCTATTTTAGATTCCAAACTCCTTCCAGATATGAGATATTTTATCTCTCTTATATGCTTTTGACATACTAAGTGCTATTGTCTACGTCCTAGTCTGCCCTCCATTTTGCAGTATATAGGACAGACAAGATTTTCATAAGGATGAAATAAAGAGGTGCACTGGGAGGAGAATGCTGCAAGCTGGCACAGAAGAGGCAACAGAGTGAGCAACATTGAATTTAACTTTCATCTTTGCAATTGCTTTGCCTTACTTTTGTCTAATGGGATTATGGATTGTTTATATTTTTATCTATACTTTTCTGTATTTTCTAAGCAGTCTTTAACAAGCATGTATAATTCATAAGAAGAAAACATAGTACACATTATTAAATGATAAAAGCCATACCCTTCATGTGAGAGGACTCAACTGGTGTTGCTGAAGTTAAATTAGTATTTATGTGTAACTATAGCTTACTTCCAAACAGTTTCTGCTTGGCTACTCTCTAAAACTGGTATATAAAAAAATAATAAATGGGATTACAGGAAAAGAAATTAGTACCATGGCCCAAAAGTTTCCAGAGCTTTAGTATGGAGCAAGGATGCTAGAGGCAAGGATGCTGGATAAGACAGGGGCACATTCAAATTACAGGAACTGAACAAAAACATAAGAAGCAGAAACTAAGGTTTCTTAGGAACTGTTCAGAACAAGGAGGCATATAACTTCCATCTAACAGACAGGAAGCTACCGCTGTCCTCTGTTACTGAGGAAAGTAACCAGAGAAGCTCTATTGGCCACAGGCAATTTCCTGTAATGCCAGTCCTGGCAATTTTCCCAGGAGTCTTCAATTACACAGAGGTAGACAGGGTAAAGTGGTTTTAAGGTAACATGACCACACCAAGACCTAAGAAAACCTATGCTCTATCCTGACTTGTCTGGGGACATTCTGACCCCTGCTCAACCAAACTGCTTTACTCGACTCATTCCCATCTTAGAATACTCCTTCTTCTAGAAATCTAGTCCTCCATACATACATAGAAAATTAAAACTGAGAAGGCCTTGGAAGAATCATTTAATTAGTAGTTTTTAATTCTGTCACACCAGTTTATGATTTTTATTATAATGATTATTCTCCTTGCCATCTTGAAAAGACATTTATAGAAATAAGATGTAATAAAGATGTAAGCAATATTATGCTCTAATTATAAAAAGGATAATCATTTATAATGAAATAATATATATTGAAATACGCAATATTTGAAAGCTTATCCATGACTATATTAGAAGATGCAGTTGCTAAGTTTCATGGTGCATGACTGTAATCTCAGCTACTCAAGAGACTGAGGCAAGTTCAAGCTCAAGCCCAGGCAACATAGTGAAACAGTCTCTAAATAAAATAAGTGGGAGACTTAGCTCAGTACTACCTGGGTTCAATCCCTAGTACCACCAAAATAATAAAAATATTGATTAAAAAGATGTAATGAAGTAATCAGAGAACAACAGGTCTACAAAGAATCATCATGAATGTGTCAGCCTTCTGGTGCAGAATGGTTACTACTGGATTGTGGTATTGGTGACTAAAGTATAAGAAATGCATATTAGTGCAATAATTCTCTGAATGACAGATAATATATGATAAAGTTCTAGGGGTAAAAATGTTCACTCTTCTTTTTTTCACTTTGTAGATTTCATCAGAAACAACAACAATAACAAAAACAGGAAAAAATCATTTCACTATGTAGAAGTGGTTATGTTATAGACTCAGATAATTACAAATGGAGCAGACTAGTGAGGAACACCTACGTGCATGGGGACCTCACCAGCACCTGAGACTTCATTGGAGCAGACCGGCCAGCTGCATGGGAAGCACGCTAGCACCCCAGCCTTCATTGAGCCCACCGGTGAGCACTGGCCAGCTGCACAGGTGCCTCTGGAGCATATCCCCCCTCACCAGCGTTCTTGGACCTCCTGGTTGTGCTAGTTCCTCAATGAACACTGCAGAGGCCCAGGTGGTCATAAAGGCCAATTTACTGAGCTCCAGAAGATAGAATGGAAGTGAACAACTGCAATAAAGGCACATCGGACCCCCATAGTTGGTAAGTTTAAGGGATCACCACCTTCCATCACAATTTGGATTATCTTCAGGGAAAGGACAGAGGGAGCCTGTAGCAGAACATTGCAGAGTTCAACCCTGCAGGAGGTCAGGGAGCTCAACATGGGCCTTGCAGCCAGAATTTAGCCTGAATCTCAGGGTTCTGCCATCAGCTAGCTGAGACTAATGGACTTAGTTCTTTACATTACTGCCCATGTTGTCTGTTGTGACAGGAGAAATATAAAGTGAGAGAGGCTCTTCAAATTTTTTTTCTTCTTTGTTTTCCTCATATTTTTAATTTTTAGTTTTAAGATTTTATTTTTTCACATTTGACAAATTGTTTCTTTTTCTTTTTAAATATTTTTCCCTCTCAGTCTCTTGCTGCCCCTCATTATTCTTCATTTCCCTTTTTTGTTCCTTTTCCTGCCCTAATTCAGATTTCTTTTTTTGCTTTCTTCTCTCTTTTTCCTTCACTCAACTGTCATTAGTTTCACGGAGAAGTGAGTCCCTACTACTGTTAAGTTGTTCTATGCTTGTCTTTTCTCTTGCACTCTTCTTTCCTTCTTGTATTCAACAGTTTCCTAGAGTTTGAGTGATCGTCCTGTGTCCTCTAGCTTTACTTGAAACCTTCTCCTATTCTTCTACCTATCTGTTCCTCTCCTCCTAACTTCTGCTAAGTCCCCATCCTGAAGGGTAAAGTTGCTATATTTAAGAGTTTATTCACTATAGACATATTTGGGCTGCTCCTTGATTCTGATTTAATTCATGTGGTTTAAAGGGGATAGATTAATAACTACAACAAATGGTCAATTTCTAAGCTGTGCTTGATGCTATTGTGTTGCTAAATGTATCAATTGGGATAAAGGATTGTGGTTGATTTAATGAGCTGTCCTTTCTGATATTATGAAAATGAGAGTGTCTATGAGTCATTAGAGACTCAAAAACTAAAGGGCAGCTATATCAGGAAGGTCAAAGTAATAACTCAGGAATTAAACAAAGGACAGCACCAACAACAAAAATAAAAATGAGAAAAAGCTTAAGGAAGGCACAAATACAGACTTCTAGTTCACTAACAGCAAATTCTAGGAGAAATGAGGTGGAAAAGTCTGACAATCAACCACCAGGACACCCTGAATTCATAGCACAGGAAGTAACAAAACAGATCAATAAGACTGTAGAAAAATTCAAAACAGAAATAATTTCCCAGATAATTACTGAGATGGTGAGCACAATGAAAGACATTATTAGAGACTTTACAACAGAAACTGACAAAAAAATAGATGAGCTCAAGACCATGATTGAAGCCATGAATGGCCAGAATAGGAAAGAAATGGAAATCATAAACGCCCAAAATAGGAAGTAAATGGAATCCATGAAACAGATTCAAACAGATATCCAGGATATTAAAAACTCTATAGAAAGGATTTGCAGCAGGATAAATGAATGTGAAGATAGAATTCCAGATATGGAAGATAGGATT